TCATCCCACTTATTAGTGTATCTATACAAAAAATCTAACAAATGTTTGACCAGTGACTGAAGAATAAATATGGCATATTTTATTGAGAGGTTTTTCCTGAAGCCAAACTGAGCATCAGAAATGATTTCGTGGGTGTCGTCAAATTTAACTAGTCTGCTATGTATTATCGAAGTAAATAGCCTTCCAGGACATGAAACAATAGTAATTCCTCTGTAGTTATTTGTATTTTTAGGCGCACCTGCTTTAAAGACCGTCACAATATTGCTAAGTGCCCACACTAAAGGGAAACAACCTAGTTAAGAACATTATTAAATATTACGGTGGCATCCTATATATCACAATACATCAATTAATTACTTTTAAATTTCAGTTCATGAAAGGATTCTCTATAAAAGTAAGCAATTCTGGAGGTTGTGATCTAGTTGTACACCACAAGATATTTATACTGTATATAATAATGTACGATTAAACAATAGAGCCTCCCACCTTTTTTTAGAAATGTACTAAGACGCAAGGCCCTCCAGGTTAAATATTTTATCAACTGTACTGTATTTCTTGCGGAAGCCTGCTTGATATTCTACCAATTTGTGGTTTCGTCGCACCATTTCGACAATCTGTTATATAAGACATTAAAGAAACGTTTCCCTATAACGGGTAGTAATGAAATACCTCTATATTTTCAACACAGTTCCGCACAGCATTTTTGTGAAGAGGAGATATGATAGCTTGTGTCCACTCTATTGGGACAATTCCGGAGTCGAATATTTTATTAAATACAGCCTTTCAAACTGGCACAAGAACTCTCTGTAATAATGGCTGTACAAAAACTATCGATGCCACTTCACATTTTTCATATCTCGAAGGCTTTTAGAGATTTCCTCAGATTGAATAATGTTAAGTTGAAGAGGTTTTCTCATCCACAATGTTTCAGGGAGGTTAAGTTTTCTCTCAATATCAAGCGATTGCAATGTCCAATTTATTCGCGGTACACTGATCTCTGAAAGCATTCGGTGTCTGAAGATAGTCCTTGTAATGGTCATTGTTCTTGGATCTTCTAAATCTGTTGAAACTAATATATTTTTCTGCGTTCAATCTTTCACACTCCTCATCAAACCAGACCGGTTGTTTCTGTATGCGTTTTTTATACGCCCACATGAAATGTGGAGCGTATATTGCCGTCACCCATATCCGTCCGTCGGTCCGTCCACAATTGCTCGTAAACACTCTACAAGGCACAATTCTTGACTGATTTCGACGAAACTTAGTATGGTTGTTTGTAATCACCCAAGGATGAACCCTATTGAAAATCAGACGAATCGAAAAATATTTACAATGAGTTATTGCCCTTGTTCTTGAAACACTCTAGAAGGTGCAATTCATGACGGATTTTGATGAAACTTGGTATGAGTCTTTGTAATCGCATTAGGATAAACCCTATTGAAAAATATTTAGTATGAGTTATTGCCCTAGTTCTTGAAAACGCGTTCTATTTTAGTTTGTAAACACTCTAGAATCACTCACTAAAGAAGGCACAATTCTTGATGGATTTTGACGAAACTTGGTGTGAGTGTTTGTTATCACCCAAGGATAAGGCCTATTGAAAATTGGAAAAATTGAAAAATATTTAGTATGAGTTATTGCCCTTGTTCTTAAGAGATAGTACTCAAAAAAATTTCATTCCCCTCATGGGACAAGTACACATCATCCACAAAATATGAGTTACAACGGCCCAAATTTTCATACTTGATGCAGTAATCCCCCCCCCCCTTTTTAAGTACTCTTTTAGTAACAAAGCTATTTAGTCTTATTGTACATTTATCAATGCTTTCATTATTTCTTGCGTATCTCCAATGCATTCTTGGCAAATCCTGTAACCAAATTAGGTTTGAAACAGAGAACATTCGCTGAATTTCTGCCAATAAGTTTGCAACCTTTTTATATAGCTCACCTAGAGGCTTAAGACCTAAGTCATTTCAACCACAGTGAATTAATAAATAGTGTGGAGGCCCTTCTAATTCTAGTAAATGACGAAGTTGGTATTTGAGTTTGCATAATGTTAACCGACTGTATCTTTGCCACCATTAGGTACAATCATCCATCCCTTAGTTAGGTCCATCTGTCGTGAAAACAGGAAGGCTCTCTTTATAAGGGAGGATCCCACACACCATACTTTGATTGTTTCTGAAAAACGTTGACAAATTATATGATTAATAAAGATTTGGAATGCGGGCGAGAGGAGTTCTAACATAAGTTTTGAAAACTGATGATTTCCATCTTCCGACCTGCATAATGATGTCATCTGGTATGCCTATCAAAGCTGCAGTGATAGCAGCTCCTATACGGAAGGAGTGAGCTTTATAGCGAGATGCCTCACAATTTAAATATTTCATGGTTTTGTTTAAAAAGGCAGTGAATTGGTACCGTATGAGAGAATGTCCGCTGAAATGGCAAAACAATGGACCAGATTGCTTGGGGCGAATTCTCAAAAATTCTTTGAGGTTAAGAAAAGTGATAGTGTAACTCCTTGGCCAAATTGATCAGTTTAAGATTGTGTAAGAGTAACATTAATCAAAAAATTTTTCCAATCAATTTCCAAATTTTCAATGCTAAGTACAGATGCTAAGTTATTTCCCTTGCATATAGCTATCACGCCAACACGAAAGAAACCAAAATAAGTTAATGAGAATACAGCTTTGAATAGTGTAGATTTATAAACAATAGACACAGTGCTCGGAATGACGTGACACATGCGCATTATAAGTTCTGGTGTTATCGGCAATCGTATATCTTTACTACCTCTAGATCTTCTACAGCCATCTAATATTTTAGAAACTGTAAAATTTTGTGTTGTATCAATGAAATTATTTATTTTGCAATGATAGCCAATTGAAGAAATGTAAACTTTTGCAGTTGAATAAGTCAAGCCTTTCAAGGATAAGTAGGCAATACATTGTATGATATGGTTAAGAGGCGGAGGCCAAATATTATCTAAATTGCAGTCAGATCTATATTAGGTAGTTCAGCAATCGTTGAGCTTCAAGCTGCAGATCATTTGATGAAATTCTAGTGGAACTGGCTGTGGGATGGAATCTGCATCGGGTACTAAGCTGAATAGTCTTGACCACTGCTTACGAGATATTGAATCAGCAATACCATTATCAAGGGTACTTATATGCTGATGTTTAAAAATGACATTCAATTTCATAGTTGCCAAAACAAAAGGTCTAATTAGTGACATTACTCTTTTTGAAGTTGAGGTTAAAGATGTTAATATATACTCTAGAGATAGATTATCAATGTAAAATTCGTTTGTTGGACAACTTACTTCACCAAACCATAAGTGCTAAGACGATAGGTATCATCTCTTAAAAGGTCATATCTCTGAAAACTCCAGTATTTTTCCAACTGTCAGGCCAATGATAAAAAAACCACTGATTCCCCAAAAATGCGCCACATCCTAAATCTGGATTACCTGAACTGTCATTAAAAGTACGTCTAGTGAAAACATTCAACCAGCCAGCCACTGACTGAAATTCTCTTAATTGAACTTTTTTCTTTCCTAACAGTTCTATAAGTCTACCACGTAAAGATTGACACTTGGCACCTGGAATACGAATACACAACAATTCAGTATCAATTTCAAGGCCTAGAAATAGCAAAATTTTTGTTGGACCAACTGACTTGTCATCTGCAAGGGGAATGCCAATCTCTAAACACAAATTTTCCAATCAATATTTCAGCTCAAAGCAATCATTAGTATTTACATGACCAGCAAAAATGAAATCATCCGAATAGTGATCAACAGTAGATTTCCCACAAAAAATGACACTAACCAATGCAAAAATGTCAACGTAAAACTTATTATTAAATTCAATACCTAAAAGTTCAAATCCTGAGGATTTATTGGTAATCTAAAGGCACTTTTGATATCCACTTTTGCAAGTTCTGCTTCTTCGCCCAAATTGGCAATCATGTCAATCACAGTGTCAAAAGATGTATAGTTTACTTCGCAATATTTGGGATCTATAAAATCGTTAACACCCTTGTCAGCAGGGTAGGTTAATGAGTAATTAATCTAAAACCAGAGGAAGATTTTGGAATTATTTCTATGGGAGAAATTCTAAGATTTCCAAGGTTAGGAGGTTGATCAAAGGGACCTATCATTCTACCTAATCCAATTTTTGTATCAAGTCGTCACCTCAGGTCTGTAAGGTTCTATCTCCACTTTTTGAAAAACATGAGTTATTGGTACCGTTGAAATGAGCTTGGAAAGTTCTATCTCCTGATAAAATTGTAATTATGTGAAAGGTTGTTCATACATAAATACAGGCTATATTAGTATGGTATATATTCATTATTGGTATTAAACTTATTTCCATAGTGTTCTATGTCCAGAAACCAATCCGTACGTACCATCACGTGACGCCAAATCAACTAACAGTTCTCTCTCTTTTCCTTGCCTTGACAAAATTTCACATGGTGTGATTTTAAGAAGATTTTGGCTAAATTTCAATGGATGTAAAGTATGTTTGGTGATTTTATAACTTCATAAACCATTATAAGCTAGTAAATAAAATTGATTTTTAAAGCATTATAATTAATTTTAAACTAACGTGGTTAAACCTTTCAGGATCCGTTTTATCAACAACTTCTTTCCTTAAATATCTGCCTAATCTTGAGTTTTTGGATCTGTCTGAAACACCTAATTTACACAATTCAGATTTTCATGTTTTAAAATGTTGTTCTAAACTTGTTCAACTGTACATATCGTTTTGTGATGTTAAAATAGATACAATTGAAAATTGCAAACATCTAAAAATCTATTAAGACAATCGATATTTCTGGAATTCCAATTAGCCTGGAACTCTTAAATCATACTTATGATACACTTACATGCTGCATATTAAATATCCCTAGATATATAACTGTAAGAGAATTTTTTGTGTTAATTGAACTAAAGTACAAGAACTGTCGATTTTTTATCCTCAGAATTGACAAGTATGGAGAAAAAATTTGGAGTTGAGAATGCCTTAGAAGTTTTGGATTTCCTTGATATTGACAATGATTGTAGTGAATATGATTCCTCGTCTGATCATTTTGAATCTGTAGAACCAGCCATTAACATACCCCTTTCTTACCAAAATAATATCAATGAAATCTTACCAGCAGCTCAAAATATATCTAATGATGAATCTTTTGAAATAACTTTGGACGAAACATACGTAATTCCCGACACTGAACTCAGTACAGCAAATGTTATAATAGATAACGAAAGTAATATCTCAACCATAATAGATAGTGATAAAAATGCTAAAATTCCCGAAACAGCAAATGCTGAATCCAGACCTTCTCGAAAACGGAAGAAAAACCAAGCAGAATGGGCGAAAAATGTACGAAAAAGGAGACGACAATCAGGAAAAGAATATACGGACTCAAACGGAAACCTACAGCAAAAAAGATCACTGAAATATGACACAAATCATACATGTAGATTCAAATGCTGTGAACATTTCTCATATGATGGTTGTCTACAAATCTACACGGAGTTTTGGACTCTTAACGACTCCCAGAAAAAGATTTTCTATAGCCAAACTACAAGTAAAGAACGTTAGGCAAGAACTAGATTGCCTAATACTGAATTTACTAGTAGAAAGCAGTTTACATATAAATATCATTTGAAAAAAAGTGATGAAAATATACGTGTGTGCAAACAGTTTTACTTAGATACTCTGGATATAAGCCAGGCACGAATCCAAACTTTTCATGAAAAAGATGAAAGAGGAAATATCAGATACAGTGATAAGCGTGGTGCACATAGTTGTAAAAATATTATCAATACTGAACCCCAAAAGGAAATAATTCGTAACCATATTAAATCGTTTCCTACTATTCCCTCACATTATTGTAGGGCAAATTCCAAGAGACAGTATTTAGAGCCCGGGCTCACTGTACAAAAAATGTACAATCTATATGTTGACAACTGCAATAGAGATGAAATAAAACCCTTAAATTATATGTTTATCGAGATTTTTTTAATTTGGAATTTAACATTGGATTCCATGTCCCGAAAAAAGGCAAGTGTGACACGTGTGAAAAATACAAAATATTAACCTCCCAACCAAACGTTAATGAAATTAATGCTCAAACATTACGTGATCATTTGAACTTAAAGCAAGAAACAAAAATAGAAAGGGACACGGATAGAAACAGAAAAGATAATTCTGTAGTTGTGTGCTTTGATATGCAAAATGTCATGACGTGTCCGCGAGCTTCAGTTTCAAATTTCTTTTATAAAAGAAAGCTTTCGGTTTTAAATTTAACAGCACATTGTTCTTATAACAAAGTGGCTTATAATGCAATATGGGCAGATAATATGATGGGTAGGGGGCTAATGAAATTGCAAGTGCTTTGTGTGTTATATTACAAAAAGTGTGCGAAGATATTCCAAATATTAATCATCTGATTTTATGGTCTGACGCGTGTGTTCCTCAAAACAAAAATTCCATAATGGTAACAGCACTGACAAAATTTGTCGAGAGACATTCAGGTCTCATCATTGAACATAAATTTGGAACACCTGTACATTCTTCTATACAAGAAGTAGACAATGTTCAGTCACATTGAAAAAGCACTAGGAGTAGCCGAAATTTATAGCCCAATATCCCTTGTCAGAGTCTTACTTAAAGTTCGACCAAAACACATGAAAGTTATACAAATGAAAAAATCTCAATTCTTTGATTTCCATAAGGTTTCACAACGATTTAAATTTAATATTCCATTTTGTAAACTAAATTATTTGAGAATTGATTCTTCCGAATCCCTCGGTATTGGAAAAAAGCATGACATACTCGAAAGAAAAAATCAACGATATGAAAAGTATGATGCCATTTATGCCACTTTCTGACTGTGATTACTACAGACATACTCTTGGCATAGACGCTAATAATTAATATGAATTATATTACACGATAAAACCTTTATTTAAATGTCAAAAGCATCAAAAAGGTAAAACAGTCAAATTCCCTCCGATTATATTGATTTTTATTGATTATTAGATATTAAAATTACTGGAATATCGTCGGTCGACATATTATCAAAATTTGGTTTCCATATATACAATGGTCAGCTTTTATTACAACATATAAGAAAATGCCTTCAAATATTATTCAATTTATTTGCTTATTTTTTTTATTAATTAATCGATCTATGTTTAAAGCTAGGAAATGTGGGATATAGAACGGGTGCCAATATGAGATTGTCTTCTGCTACTAATTCCATATCGTTCTATATCCCAATTACTCCAATGTCCGTTTTTGTAAAACAAAAATATGAGAAATTTGTAAACTTTTTGTCAAAATGAGTTTTATTAAAGTAAAAATAAATGAATGATTTTTCACATGTTAATTTTGATATATTCCTTCACTTAATATTGCATTTATATGGTTGTCAAAGTTTCAAATTTGATTTTCTCAAAAACAAAAAGAACGGAGATACAACATTATAGACCTGAGGTGACGAAGTGGCAGCTGGATGTCCATATGCACTTTTCAAATTTTTGGACCGATGAAATTCCCTAGGGCCTTCATAGTGAAGATTAAAACCATTTCTAAAGCCATTTTCTATTTCCTGAGCAGCTTCAAGATCAGGATAGAATTTTAGATATTTAACTAGAGGATCTATTTGAATTGGAGGTTTGCTTAATGTCCACAGATTTGTTATTGTTGGATCCTTGCTGTTGGAATTTTGATTTAATACTATTGGATCCACCATCATTCTTTGGGGAGTCCACACCTACCAAGGTACAAACCTTAAAAGGATGTTCCTTACTGCATTGCTGATATTTACAGTTTACAATATTACAAAAACTTTTATAATTTAAGTTAAAACATTTGTTTGTGGCGTACTAGTTTGCTTTGGAACCAAAATTACCTGTTGAGTTACACTTATTTCTATTATTATAAGAAGAATCGGTAGAATTTGCAGAAACTGTCACACATACGAGCCACAAATCATTATCAATTGTGTCCCAAGAGAATGACGGATCTATGCTCCTTTTAAGTCTGAATTTCTCATCATAAATTCTCCATCCTATACCTGATGTGCAGCCAATCGTTTGCATATACTTGAGAAATTCTTGCAGTTTTTCAGGTTTAGCTGCACAATATATGCTTATGTAGACAAAAGCATCAGACCAGCGTTCAATATTTTGAATCTTATGATGTGATTTTTCACGTATTACAAGCTCTCCCCTATCAGTTAATGAAAATGTCTTATTGCTAGATTCTTCGCTTATAAGAGTATTGTTAAAGCTAAATTTATGAAGTTTCCCTGGAGCAAATTTTGCTTTTAACATCTGGGATACATTATTTCCTACCAGTAGAAAACTCATTAGGGGGGGATATGTGTAAAAGAATGAATAATATCAGATGTTAAAGGGACATTACTATTTGATTAGTAATCTGTTGGTGAACTGTGTCGGGAAATATCACACCAGTTGGTTGTGATAATGTTTCCTCAGCAGATTGTTGTTGTGGAGCTGTTGCCTCTGTAACTGAAGGTATTTCTACCCTGTTGGTTTGTTTATATCTACTTGAATTAGTTTGCTTCTTGGCGTAAGGACTTTTACTAGGTCTCTTGCTTCTCCACATTATGATCCAAAATTGAAGGAAAAAACAAAAAAATGTGATTCAGATTTTGAAATCAAAACAAAATCATTTGAATAGGAAATATTTTGCAACTCTGTCACAACTTTGAACTAGTCGAGGTTTCCACAGGAAAAAATATTATGAGCATGACATAAGAATGTAAACATCCTGTAGTCCTCTACAATAAAAAACATTTATTCTTTATGGGAATAAACGTGATTAATACGAAATTCCATTTCATTTCATGGGAAAAATCCAACCAATCTATGAACTTCCAAAAAAACAAGACCTAAATTCCCTACATTTCATAAATTCTTACAGCACTACATTTCATAAAACATCCTAAATTCCCTACATTTCATACACAAAAAAACACCTTCAATCAATTTCCTACATTCCATCAAAAAAAAAAAAAGCATATTAAAATAATGTAGAAGGGAGATAACTTTTTGTTTTTGTTTTTTTGGGAAATTTTCTACTCAAATTTTAAACCTTAAAAATGGCAAATAAAATACTAGATCCAATCTTTAGATTATACGATCCGATTCGTTATTCGTTTAACAAGAAAAAAGAGGATTATATTATCATCTCGCCGACTGTTGGTTCTAAATCCCAATTGAATAATGGTGGTAGAATTACCTTCGAAAAAAATTCATTATCGAATTGGTTGCTTCTTTCCGATGCTTATTTCAGATGTAATTTCAAAATTAAAGATGGAACTCAGAATCAAGTTCCACAAACTAATACAACGTTAGAAAACAGTTTCTTTCCATCTTTATTAAGCGGTAGGTTGTGGAAGCTGGTTCAAATCCGATAGAAACAATCCAACCTCCCGGGGAATTCGACACAATGTTGAAAACAGTTTTATATCCTAAAGATTTTGATTCAGTCTCAGGTTAGATACCCGATGTTGGTGATGGAAGTGTTTTAAAAGAACCGGTAAGAAATGTTGCAAATGATGCCGATTTAGATAGAGTGAGAGTTGTTGCTCGAAACACAATAGAAAGAGTAGCACGAGCAGCTAATCATGGATTTGAAAAACGAGAACTTCAGTACAATAATATTGTTGAGAATAATAGGTGGGGTAATTACGTAAATTGGAAATCATATCCTTTATTCGGTCTGTTGGAAAAGTTTCCATAGGCTTACCATATAAAATTCATCTACAAAGAGAAATCAACGACGATAAGATATTCTTTGGAGAGAATGGTTCAGATGCAAAATTAGGAATAACGAATCTCCAACTTTTCATACCCGTAATAACACCATCAATTGAAGTAGAAACGAGAATATTCAACTCGTTAACTACAGATATTGAAATAGCTTTTCTTCATCGTAACACGGTAGGTAGCATGACTTTAACGGGAGAATCCACAACATGGCCAATCACCAACACTATTAAACCAGCAAGGTTGGTTTCAAGAACTTACCAGATTCTCAAACGAATAACAATAATGTCTTTAGAGTGGCAATGAACCAAACTCAAGATCCTATAATCCATAAAGTTCAAGTAAGATTAAACAAATAATTATCCTAACCAACCTTTAACAATTAATCCAACCACAAAGGATTATAATGAATTGTATAGAAACTATAAAAATATGTGTGAATTATTTGGAAATATACCTCAGTTTGAATATGTAGATTTTGCACTTAATCATCCAATCTTCTGTTTTCTTCAGCTCACCAAGAAGATCTTTTCAAAACAGGAGTGAACATAAATATTCATATTGAAAAAACACAAGGAGATATAACAGGTTATTGTTTATTATTAGAAGAAGAAAAACATTTAATTAAAATAGAAGATAGAAGAATGATTCGTATAGAATAATCATTTTAATTACCCTCTTAAACATGAAACCAGAAACTTTAGTAAAAACGGAATCACCGACTGTAATAACTTTCAATGGTAAAAAAATCAACATAACTAAAAAACTTATTGATAAATACAAATATTGTAAAGTCAGAGACGATATAGATTTAGAAAGAATTGACACGAACGCAAAAGAAGGTGAATTTTTACTTTTCCTTCTACCTTGAATATTTGGTGGTATTGCAGTCAACTCAAATAAAGCAGCTGCAGTAAAAGCCGCTGAAGAACGCAGACACAATTTAACAATGGAAAAGGAAGCACGAGGTTCAGGAGTGGGAGATATGATAGGCACAATAAAAGAATTTGGAAAAAGATTCGGGGAAGAAACCAAGAAAACTGTTAAACAAGGATTAAATAAATTAGTAGATGGGAGAAGTCAAAGTCAAACATAAGGGTAATGGAATATTTTTAAAAAATATACACACTGGAGAAGGAATATTTCTTTCAAAGTATAAAGGAGAAGGAGTGATTTTTGGAACAAAAAATGGGTAAAAAATTCAATCATTCAGAAATATTTCCTAATAACCCATTGCTCATGTGTTTATGCGGTAATTCCGGTTCTGGGAAAACTTATCTCACTTTTAACATGCTTTAAAATATCTACCAAAGAAAGATGTTCAAGACCTATTTCAATGATTACGAAGAAAACGAAGAAGAAGTGGAAATAAAAGATATCTTAGATAACTACATCGAAGGAAAGAAACCAACGGATATAAAAGTTTTTCTTACAAAAAATGTTAATGACCTAGACTTGTCTAATATTGTCTAATATTGATAGCAAACGAAAGAAGTTAATATTGTTTGACTACTGCGTAGCGCAAAGAAATCAAGCTGTTCAACAAGAATTCTTCACGAAGGGAAGACATCACAACTGTCACTGCATATACCAATCCCAATCATTTTTTATTAGAAAAAATGCAAATTGTTTTTTATTATTTGAATTAAACGATAAAAAGATTTATCTCAAATCATTCAGTCGATAAATCACGGAATGGACAGAGATGCGTTTAAAAAGGTTTGTAAAGCTCAATGGAAAAACCCAGATGATCATGGACATATATTCGTTAATACTAGAAAACCTGCGGGTGAAAGAGTTATGACAGACATTTGTTAAATTTTATTTTTTAAAAATGGATAATTGGAATAATATTTTAAAAAGAAATAAAGAATATATCAAAGCTAAGAATAAAATAAAGATCCAAGTTGAAAATAACAGATTACAACAACTCGGATTAACGGAAAATCTACAAACTCTATTTCAACCCATATTAAAATCTCAAGAGGATATTAAAAAGAAATTAGAATATAAACCTCCTATAGAACCCACACCTCCTATAGAACCTGATCAAATAGAATATCCCATTAAAGATGATGAAATCATAATTAGGTCATTATATGATATAAATCGTCTTTTTTCAAACCCTTACCCAGATTTACCAAAGAGTATTACACCAAACATTGATGCAGTGGGGTTATTGTTTAATGGTTTTAGATTAAGATTTAGTGGAAATTCACTACAATTCAAAATCGACACAAAAGACTTTATATTTACATTAACGAGAGGGTTAATAGATTTAATGAATGGCGAGGATGTTGAAATCGCCGATTACAAGGATTTACTAGCATACTCAAAATTTCTACATGCAATAAGAAAGTCGGGACCCGAAACAAGAAGATTGAAAACAGTTGAAACATATTAAATAAAGTTATTCCTGATGAAGAGCAATCAGATGATTATGCAGAAGATTATCCACCAATCATACAAGAAATAGACGAATTCGAAGATATGGTATCTGGAGAAGGTATAACGGTTTTTATCCGACAACAATGAGGAACTACTTAATAGATTACGAGTAATATTAGCGGCAATGAAGGAAGGACATCGATCGCACAGACAATATAATGAAGTGAATTGTATATTAAAAAGACTCCTAGAAAAAGGTATCATAGATAAAAGTGATTATAAAAGCGTGATTAAAAATGTCAAATAAAGAACAACTATTCGTTATCACCTCGAATAAATCAGACATTAAATTATCTCTAGATTATGAGTACGAACTCGATCGCAATCAAGAATATGAATTGGGATTAAAGTATTTCTCTGTTTACAATTCCATTAGAAATATCAACGAAAACAACAATCAACTAAAAATATCGACGGATAACGGAGTTACGTTCAAAACCACACGTTCACTACCAGGAAGCTACGAATACATAGCCATTAACGAATACCTATCTGAATACGCAGGTAAAAACAATATTGAATTCGAAGGTAATTTGAATCTGAACAAAATAAAATTGGTAGTAAGAAATAATAGTCAAGTTGATTTCAACGTAGAAAATTTATTGAATACGTTACTAGGATTTGATAAACGAGTGTACACCCAATCCACTTTAGCACCAAACAAAGCTAATATCGAGAATGATATCGATGTCATAAATATACATTGCAATTTGATAAATGGTGGATTTTTCAATAAATACAAACGTCAGATTATTTACAGTTTTCCAACATTCACTGTTCCTATTGGATATAGAATTATAGAGAAACCATTTCAAACGACGTATTTACCACTTAATTCCTTTATGATTAAAGATATAAATCTGGAAATTAAAGATGGTAAGAATAGGTTTATAGATTTTGGTAACGAGGAAATTGTTATTCAACTTCATTTAAAACAAAAGAACTAAATTTATTCTGATGGATCATCATTAGATACATTCGTAAAATAATCAAAATCATCAGATACATAATCATCATCCAAACACATCTCATCTTTGTTGTTGTAAGGATACATGATTCCTTCACTGTTTGGTGCTTTTCTCTTAACGAGATTCAGATAACTTCTGAAAACTTTCTTTTGTTTATCATTTGGAATAACTATTCCATCAGTAAAACTTTTTACCCAAGGTTTATCAAATTCATTCGTTACGTCATGTCCGCTAGCTAATTGAATGTAGTCTTCCACCTTAATCTTATAGTTAGAGTAACCCTTAAACGTTTTTATTTCTTTTAAAACACCTTCGGAAGTTAGAATGATATTGTATTTTACTTTTGGCGCTAAATATAAACCAAATATGATTCCACCATCACCGTAATCATTCTTCCCTTTGCTATATTCGTTTTCAGACACCAACCCAGCTTCATTTAATTTATCCCAATTGCTAGACGAAATGTATAAACTATCGGTATCCGTATAGTATATTTCAGGCTTATAAAATCCATCTATCACGTGAATGAAATTGTTCATTATTTTCTTACTGTGAGATAATATAAATGCACCTAAATGAGTGGGTGTTAATCTAGTAAAATCCTTTGGAGGAACAAACTCTTTTACTTCGTCATTAATCTCAACGATATATTGAGTTTCATTTACTTTTTCATAGCTTTTGACGTGTGAATCATAGTTGGCTTTAAAAGTCGCTTCACTCCATAGATGTCTTTATATATGTATTTATATCCTTCTGAATAGATTTACCGTATAAGGAATTGCCTAATAATTTCATGCAATTACTAACAACCATATCTCCTTCTTTTTTGTATTTATTCCTTAATTCCTTCAAAATTAAAATATAATCTCTATATGGGGGAGTTTTAAAATTTTCTTCGTAAACTATTCCATCTAGTATTTTAATAATTTTACCACCGGCTTTCACTATTTCTTGAATATCAACCGATGTTGAAACGTCGTGACAGAAACCATTTCTGAACCTGATTTTACTCCCAGTTTCCTTCTTACCTATTCTATTCGTAAAAGTTATTTTATCTTTAGCTGGTATGGGTTGAAAGAACATGTTGGTAGGATATTTAAACCAGACTATTAAAATAGCAGTTCTAGGTCTGAATTTCTGCTCATTAAAGAGCTTGACAAATTTTTCATTTTCCTCAAGTCGAACAGGTCTGGCACTTTCCGCTTTAGGATATTCACCTTCTGTCATGGCGGAAGCGTACAACCCATTAGCGTCAAATGCCACCAGTTTAGAATAGTCCAGTTTTTTGAGTTTAGCATGAACTTCTGTTTTATCTTTTGGGTTAACACTGTATTCTTTGAATAAATTTATTATTCCTTCAGTGTCACTTTCATTGTATTCTTTTAATATTGTACAGATTTCATTCATTTTATCCGTTTCAAATGATTTTCTATTAGCAGAGACTCTTCCACCTTTAATACTTTGTCTGATAAAATGTCTTATAAAAGGATGAGTATGTGAGTAAACTTTTTCTACGTTTTCTTTTTCGGTGTGTTTCGGAACGAGAATTGTCCTTTCATAATATGGTTTTTCAACCATTTCTTTATTGTAATGATATAAATAATACCAACCCTTTAAAGATAAAGAAGGCGCCGTTAGATTATTGGAAACGTTTTGGAAGACAGTTATTTTCATTGCTTGATTGTATTTTATCAAACAAGCTCCGAGACACAACGTATCTCTTTTAGCGTAAGTTTCCCATTCGGGTCTTAAAGATTCCCAGGTTTCTTTGGTGAATTTTGCAATATTAATATCGGTGATCTTTCTCAAATTCATCGGTAGATTAGACGAATTTCCCCAGGCCGCCAAACTAGTGCTTTGATGTTTAAATGAACAAGTGAAAGATATATTTTGTAAATAGTTAGAGTTACTCATCATTTCTTTCTGTCTTTTCCATTTTTTCTGCAATCTTTCTTCTGTATATGGATTAGATAAAGGAAGAGAAAGAATTTTATTATCTACTACTAGTGGACATTGTGTTAGTTTTTTAACGCTTTGAAGTGCAATCCAGTTGTCAAAACCGCTACCGTTATGAGAAATCAATGTTAATCTCTTTTCATCTACTTTTCCTAAACGTTGTAACATTTGATCTATACAATCTGTACCTAAAAATATTTCTACTATATTAGTCATGAGTATGTTGTAATATTCCTCTGAAATGGGATCTGCCGGCTTAAAATCTAGAGTATCACTTAAATCACTAATATAATTATTATAATCATCTAACCTTTTCCTCAGTTTTTCTAAATTAACTAAAGTACAACAATAAGGAATGGCTTTATTCGTTTCTTTTTCGCAATAGGATTCGCAATCCCAAGCGTATAAACAGTTATCGGATATGGTCGAAAAAACGTTTAGTTTTAACTGGGCGAAACACATTACCGCGTCATCATCTTTACAAGTTCTCTATACATTTTCTTATTCTATTTCTTTAATGCCCAAAGCTTTGTTATTTCTTCTTATCAAACAGAAATGTTCTTTGTGTAAATAAAATACCCAATCAAATTCCTCTAATACTTTCTTTGGTTGAAAATGACTGTGTTTTTAGGGTTATAGATTTGAAAATTAGTATTAAATTTCTTATTGAATTTAGAAATTCTAGCAGTTGTCATAACTCCTTTTCTGTTTGATTTTTGAAAACTGTTGATGAAATCTTGAAATTCCTTTGTTAAATCTGTGTTCGTGATGTAATTTACACACTTTATAAAACAATAACAATCTGTTGGTATGTAACAATTTTCTCCCATGTATTCATTTATCTTTTAAGTAGGTTAACACCACTTCCCTTTTTTGATCTTTCTACTATTCTGAAATTATTTTTGCGCAAAATAATCTCTCCTGTAAAATACCAATCAGATGTATCAGAGGTTTCATGCATCTTTGAATAAATAATCTGGAAAGTTTGAGCATTGAATCCAGATAATCTCATGTCTTGTTTGTGTTTTCCTTTTTGATTTATTTGACCATTTATTTCAATTTGGCCTTTAATTTTATTATCCTTAAATAGAATAGTTATTCTCTTGATTAATTCTGAAAAAGCATAATTAAGGTTGATATTTTAATTTCATTCTCCTCTTTTTCAAAACCTTCAGCTACATCATGAATTATATATTCAAATTCTTTATCTTTTTCACTAAATTTGGTTGAAAATATATTAGGTATTGAATTGAATATCAATGAAAAATATGTTTTATATAATGGTTCGTTTAAATTTCAATTTTATCCATTCTTTTTTTAAGTATCTATTTTTAACTAGGAATTTTTATTGATGATTTTTCATTGAATTTTTCTAATTCTTCAACTGATATTTTCTTGTCTTCTCTCGAAAAAAAATTAATAATTTATTAAGATATGTATTTAAAATTTCCTTTTATAATGAGCTTTGATGTAAAACCTAAAGTGATCAATCCACAAGAACACCACTACTCATTTTTTTTCTTTGAAATTGTTTTTACGGAAAATCATATTTCCTATGAAATACCAATGAGAGGTATCCGATTTATCATCCAGCGCAATGAAGAAATTGACAAAAGTCATGGTATTAAAACCTACAAATTTTATGTCTTGTTTGTATTTTCTATCTTGAGTAAAATTTCAATTTTATCCATTCTTTTTTTAAGTATCTATTTTCAATTAGGAATTTTTAACTTTTATTGATAATATTTCTTCATCAAATTTATCTAAAATTTCATTGAATTTTTCTAATTCTTCAACTGATATGTTCTTGTCTTCTCTCGATCTTTCGAAAAATATAAACAATTTATTAAAATATGTATTTAAAATTTCTGTTTTCCTTTTATAATGAGCTTTCTGTTTTGATGTAAAACCTAAAGTAATCAAACCACAAGATGAAGTTTGAACGGCAGTGAATGCGGCTAATACAGTTGGGACAATTATTGGAAGCATTAATCCACCGGTTACGGCTGTTGCCACCGTTATTCCTACTGTTAAAACTGTACTTAATGTTTTGAAAACAGAATCGATTCTACTCCATGTTTTTCTACATTTGTTGATTTGTTTTAGTTTTTCTTTAAGTTCGTTTTGTTTTTCTATCATGTATTTTTGTCTACTTTCGAGTTCCATTTTTTAGGTAATTAAATTAAGTGAACTTCTAATAAAGCTGCTAGGTGTTTATTAATAACAACTTCTACAGTTACTAACGATAATTGTTCTTTCGAATCATTAATCTTATTCAGATGAACTGAAAATCTTGGTTTATCATTTCTAATAAAGATTGATATATTAACATATGAATCATCTCTTATTAAAAAATTTTTGTTTTTGTTGACTTTTATGAATATCAATTGAGGTAAATTTACCATTATCAACAAAATATAGTTTTACGTATTCAAAGTCTGTCGTTCGTGAAAACATATAACTGCTTATATCTTTTTTATATAACTGATGGTGGACTTTCCGTTTCCAATAACATATCAAAATTACTCAATGAAAGATCATCTTCTTCATTATCTGGTATGATTAACCTTCTAAACCTATCTATTTATTTTCCACTTGTTTTAATTTCATATAAGTGATCTCTCTTGATGTTTTCAAGGGTAATTTCTAATTCTATAGTTTCTACATTTTTTATATCATTGATAAACTGAAGAACTTTGCGAGCGTCAAAATTTTTAAAAAAACGAGAGTTTTGTCTGAAGAATATTGAATCAACTTTTACCTGAAAAGGAAAATTCATTTCAATTAAAAGTTTTCCATGGAAAATAAAATATAATGAAACATGAGTTTCATCATCTGGATCAAAAATATTAGTGGGGTCAATAGTATAATATGGAACAGAATATACTCTAAAATATGCTGTAAATCCATATTTTTTAAATTCATAGTCTTTTGATTTATCAATATTATCAGTAATAGAACCATCATCACTAAGATTCAAACTTCCAAATGGAAGATTGAAATAATATGATTCTTTCTTGAGAAACTTTTTTTTCTAATGCGACTATATTATTGTCTTGTTTCAAAACTAGTGGTTATCTGTTGTTGAATAACACTATCATCAATATTTTGTATTTGTTGATGAATATAGGTTTTGATTTCGCTATCATCTATGTTTTGTATTTGTTGTTGAATATAGGTTTTGATTTCGCTATCATCTATGTTTTGTATTTGTTTTTTAATATTTGTTCGTTCTTTTTGTAATTCACTGTTAAGTTAAGTTTCCAGAGCATTTAATTCCTGTTGAAACGTATCTTCATTTTCATCTGGAATGTTATCTATCAATTGTTGAATGTCTAATTTTTGTTTTGCAATCTTATCCTCTAATTTAGATATTAATGAAATTAAATTTTGTAACTCAGTTTTATTCGCTACATTGATCAATTCTTTTTGAATAAAACTTATTAATCTTTGTACCTCTTGTTGTAGTTTAATATTATTAACAAAATTTTTATTATTTAGTTGACGTTTGAAGAATCTTTTCACATTACTTATTTTATCTTCTAAATGGTTTTTATTTACTTCAATTGAATTTATTTGTTCTCGTAAATATTTCTTGTGAATGACGTCATTATCGTTTTCCGGAGACTTTGAATTAGTTATGCTAAAATTGTTCATATCTAAATCACCTTGAAGAGTGTCTCCGATTTGATCCACGAAGTAAGGTTTCGCTTTATTTATCCACGCTGTAGAGTTGGGTTTTTTAGTTTCTAAAGATAAAGAACCTAATCCAAAATTGTTCGCCATTTTTATTGAGTTAAATTTATTACAATTTCTTCAAACTGTTTTCCTAAACTCAACTGATATAAAACCCAAAGTGAAAGCTGACCACAAAACTTTTTGTCCCGGTAATTGAATTTGAAAGGTAGAACATTTGATTGGTTTATTAGTCAATTTTATTATCTCTTCAGTGGGTTCTAATCCATAAGAATCGAAGAAATAAAAGTCAGAGTCTTTGTACAAAGCAGAATGATGAACTCCTTTTTGATCTGAAGTATGTATATTTACCTTTCTTATATTTCAGATCATTTATTTCATCTCTCAGTAGTATATGTCTTTTCGGATATGACGCATTTCACTTCTGCGCATGCGCAGCTTTTTCAATGCGTCATATCCGAAAAGACACAACTGTTAAAATGTATTATAACAGACTCCCCAAACTGTATTATAACAGACTCCCCAAACTGAACTATAGCAGACTCCCCCCAAACTGTATTATAAATTACCTAAAACCACAGACAAGAATCACTAATAATAATACAGTAAAAAATAACCGCATTAAAAATGTCTTTGATTTTAAAACACGAAAAAAAAATCCGAAGGAGACGGTTTCTTCTCTGCGCTAACATCTCTCATCCCCAAAGTGGCCAATTTTGTCTCAAACAACAAATCGCTCATTTCCTCAGAAGCGCAAGCTCTTGGATCTGTGGCAAAAGCAGGAGTAAATATTAGCGATGCAGTGAAAAAATCTGACGAACTTAAAGAACTGCAGCTAATAAGAGAACTAAGAAACAAGAGACTAGAACGACAAGCCCTAGAAAAACAAGGAAAAGGGTTTAAAATCATTGGATAAAAATGGCAAGCAAAAATTACAGATTGGATCCAATCTTTCAATTGTATGATCCGATTCAATATTCGTTCAACAAGAAGAAAGAGGATTACGTAATCATCTCACCATCGGTAGGGACAAAGACCCAAATAAACGACGGAGGAAGAGTTACCTTTGAAATTAATTGGTTGTCCAATTGGTTGCTGCTTTCCGATGCCCATTTCCGATGCGATTTCAAAATCAAAGACGCCTCTCAGACCAACACGACTTTAGAAAACAACTTCTTTCCGTCATTATTCAGCGAAATGGTTTTGGAAGCTGGTTCAAATCCGATAGAGACCATAAAACACCCCGGCGAGTTTGACACAATGTTGAAAACGGTTCTCTATTACGTTAATTGGAAGTTGTATCCTTTATTTGGTCTCTTGGAACACAGAAAGGTTTCCATAGGTTTACCGTATAAAATTCATTTGCAAAGAGAAATCAACGACAACAAGATCTTCTTTGGTGAAAACAAATCTGACGCAAAATTGGAAATAACTAATATCCAACTTTACATACCGGTAATCACTCCTTCCGTAGAAGTGGAAACGAGAATATTCAAATCTTTAACCAAAGACATCGAAATTGCTTTTCTTTGTCATAACACGGTAGGTAGCATGACTTTAACGGGAGAATCCACCACGTGGCCAATTACCAACACCGTCAAACCAGCGAGATATCTAATGGTCGGTTTCAAAAACTTGCCAGACTCTCAGACAAACAACAACAACATTTTCAGAGTGGCATTGAACCATACTCAAGATCCCATCATTCGCAAAGTTCAAGTCAGATTGAACAACGATAATTATCCCAATCAACCTTTGATAATTGATCCTTCCAAAAAAGATTACAACGAATTGTACAGAAACTATAAAAACATGTGCGAATTGTTTGGAAATGCGCCTCAGTTTGAATACACAGATTTTTCACTCAATCATCCAATCTTTTGTTTCGATCTGTCAGCTCATCAAGAAGATCTTTTCAAAACAGGGGTAAACATAAATATTCACATCGATAAAACACAAGGAGATGTGACCGGCTACTGTTTATTGCTGGAAGAAGCAAAACATTTGATTAAAATATCAGATAGAAGAATGATAAGAATTGAATAAAAAAACACCCTTTAAAAATGAAACCAGAAACTTTAGTTATGAAAATAATAGAAGCTATGGAAACGAATTCGCCGACTCTAATAACTTACAACGGTAAAAAAGTGCATATAACCCAAAAGATTATCGATAAATACAAACATTGCAAAGTCAGAGACGATATAGACTTGGAAAGAATTGACGAGAATTTAACTAAAAAAGGTGGATTCTTACCTTTAATCTTTGCTGGTTTAGCTGCAGCCGGTGCAACTGCTGGTGGAGCTGCTGGGATAGCCAAAGCTGTCAACGATAAGAAAGCTGAAGCCGCTGCAAACGCCGAAGCACGTAGACACAATTTGGCAATGGAAAGTGAAGCACGAGGAGGTTCGGGAGTAGGAGATATATTAGGGACGGTTAAAGAATTCGGACAAAGATTTGGCGAAGAAACCAAGAAAACCGTTAAAGAGGGATTAAGCAAATTAATAGATAAAATCGACACCTGAGAAATGAAGTCAAACACAAGGGCAACGCCATATTTTTAAAAAACATACGTTTGGGCGAGGGAATCTTCCTTTCAAAGTATAAAGGCAACGGGGTGATTTTTGGTACGAAAATGTAATAAATAAAAATGGGCAAGAAATTCAAACATTCGGACATATTTCCTAGTAACCCAATGCTCATGTGTATTTGCGGTAGTTCAGGTTCTGGGAAAACTCATCTCACTTTTAACATGTTGACAACACCAAACCTTTTAGATTTCGATTCTCTGTATATCTACACAACAACACCAGAGCAATCGTATTATCAATTCCTCAAAGCTTTGGAATATTTACCAAAGAAAGACGTTCAAGACATATTTCAATATTATGAAGAAAACGAAGAAGAGGTGGAAATAAAAGATATCATAGAAAACTTCATTAAATCAAAGAATCCATCTTTCAATCCAACGGATATAAAAGTTTTTCTTGCGAAAAATTTTAATGATCTAGACTTGTCTAATATTGATAGCAATCGTGACAATCGTGACGACTGCGTAGCGCAAAGAAATCAAACTGTTCAACAAGAATTCTTCACCAAAGGAAGACATCACAACTGTCACTGCATATACCAATCCCAATCTTTTTACGGGATGGATTCTATGTTCATTAGAAAAAATGCAAATTGTTTTTTATTATTTGAATTAAACGATAAAGATTTATCTCAAATCA